GAGAATAAATGTCAGTCTAGCCGCTTTTTTAGATATTGGGAAGTTTATTTACCATTTTTATTTGTCATTTCTTGAATTTGTTTTAAAGTGTCTGCTTCACAAATGAAACAAACACTTGCGGCTAGGACACCACACCCCACATGAGGTCTAATATTCTTCTGATACAATATGCAAAACATATCTTCATTAAACTTACATTGGTATTAAAAAGCGAATATACCCTACATCTTGTTTCAATCGTAAATACATTGCGTACAGTGATGTTCAGTTATTTAAACTCAATAAACTTTGGTGAAGTAAAGCCGTTTTTCGAGTTGTCATGAGGACTGTTGTGACCCATGGGCTTGAATATATATGTGGTAATAATAATCCTACTGTTAGATACGTATTCTACTAATACGTTTTCGTGTAAAGAGAGCATATCTATTTTTTCATCCAAACCTCTCCAGAGTAAAGTCCCATTCACATGAATCACATAGGATTATTTGATTTTTCACAGTCTCTTGTCTTCGACTACTATAAGAAAGACTCCAATAACTATTATTATCTGTCCTTTTTACCTGTGGAGGTCTTAAATTGGGTCTTTAACCAATGTTTTGTTTAAAGGTAGGTGTCAATTAAATTAACATCAACGGGAACACTGGCATCAACTACACTTATATACTCTTCTCTTACCATCAGGAAGTAAGTCCAGGAAAGATAGTCAGCCCTGAGATCGTGATGATTTTTGGCAAGGGACTTATTTCCCTAAATATGCTGAGTAACAGCTTGACAGGGGATTCTTTTATGCGATTTCATGACTTTAATAATTAGACTGATCGGACGAAACTTCTTACTAGATACTAAGGTTTAATTTCAAAAAGTACCCCAATAATGGTATCTATCCAGTTTCTTGGTGAATCTAAATGACTTGGTGAAATGTTGTACACTAGGGAGATTGTCTGCGTAGCTTCATTCTTCCTAGACCTGGGTGGGACATGGATCTTTAGCGTATGATTACGACACACACAGTATTCCTTCTAAATTACTGACTGCAAGCTGGAAAGAGTGATTCTGTTCACTCACAGTGCTTCAGAATACGACATTATACTATTCCTACATTACAAGGACGCAACAGACAGGTTTTCTCTTACAGGAAACTTGCGAATGACCAGAAATTAATTGATTCTTTTATATGACGAACAGTACTAAAAAATCAATGTAGAAAGGTGTTTCCTGGCTGTTTACCAGCGTACCAATAATATTACAGTGACACAGCCTTTGACCTGTATTAAGGGGCAAAGTTATACACCAGCTTCCCAAGGGAGGTAAACTCACAAGTGACTTTGAGTCGACCAACCATAAAAATAAATGATTTTTGCACAAAAATGATCTTTATTTAAAATAAAATGAATGAAATCAAATTAAACAGGGCATCTTTCTCTGACATGACCTAAAAATACTTCCCATTTATAGTGAGGAGTGTCAGTTTTTAAGTAAGACCAGTTTCTGTATATGTATTCGCCGAGGTGGCTTAAGGTGAGCTTTTTTTCTGACCAGTTTATGGCTCTTATCCTGTTTTGCAGTCTTCCAAAAGAGCCCTCGGTTGAATTTCTATGGTTTTCAGTAGGAAGATCGACGACTACTTACTAGGAAAATGTGGATGATAAAACAAATTAAAACTCTAAATCTATCCTTAATCGTAACCTTAACCTTAATACTAACCCTAACGAGCTATTAACACATTGGCCAAATAGTACTTAAAATGTGATCTGGGTGAAATTTGTTCCTAATTTGGTGAATAGCGTTCATATTTACGCTGTAGTAATGACAGGTGTCTTAAGCCAACGACTAGAATGCGTTTAAGGTCACTGGAGCGTTCTCATCCTTGGGGTGCTGTTGTTTAACTTAGCCGATTAAGGATAAATGCTTAGTTTAGTAGAAAACGCTGATTAAAAATGTCTCCTTTTCATCCTGATATCAGACCTAAATAAGCCACTTCACAGGTTTAATATTCCTTAGTTTAAAAACTATTTAAATTTACCAACAGGCTTTTTTGAAATCGTTTAATTTCATTGTCGCCTTGTCTACAAATCTGAAACACTGGAAAATCTAAAATAAACAATGGAATTTATTCCGGTCTGGCTCACTTTAGTTGGAAATGATGCCTAATTTGAAATTAATGAGGTAACGAAGGACTTTTCAGTTGGTCAATTATGAACAGCACAGATGATATCTATCTTTGACCTTTAGGATCAATCAAACTGCGTGTTAAGATATTTATTCATTTGTAAAATTGCATGGTCATGTTTCAGTATTATTATATTATTATTGTTCCCCTGGGTTCGAAGCAGGAAATGTGGGTTCAACAACACATCTCCACTTTGTTCTATTTTCTGCTATCATCTTTAGCTTGGCCCACGATTACTCATAGTCTCTTATCTCCTCCTCATCTCCTTATCTCCTAATTATCACCCTCAAACCCACATCAAACTTTTCGTTTCCCATTCGGGTTGCACTCGAGCAATGGCCTGCAATGAGCATGATTTCATTCGACGGCCTCCTCAACGTATTCCCATATTATCCATCTCCATTGTCTCATACCTATTTGTTGAGCAATCGGCTCAAGGTTGGTTCGTTGCCAACCAGAGTTTTTTGTTGCTAATTCTTTCTCGGTGGCTGGCCGGCCAGCTGGCCATTTAATCTTCAATATGGAGCCAGCTAGAGAAGGTGGTGACTGTTGACAAAAGTCTGCAACTAGTTGGAAATGATTTTCTTGACGAACGCACATTGTAAGTTTCTGACCCATTTGGAAGAACTAACTGACTGACTTGACATTTGTGTTGAACAGAATCCAAACTAATCTAATTGTTTATGCTGGTTGGTTGGCTGGCTGAGTGAGTACGGAAGATTTCCAAATTGGTTTCAGATTGATGAAGGCGTAGCTTGCCTTTCCGATACTGGGTGGCTTTGATATTCCTCTGCTAAATCTATCTCTATGATAGTGATTGGTGCTGGTTGTTGTTGCTGTTGGTTGGTTATCTTCATCATCTCTGTCCATATTCTTTGTGTTCAACTGCAGTCATGTCATCGCTGCCAGTTTCTTCAGCCATTTTCTTAGTTTTCGCCTACAAGTATTAGAGTTTGTCTGACATTAAAAATATATCCTCCGCAAAATCCAGATCTTCTGGAGTCTTATCAGCATAATTTATTCCACCACATATAAAAATATCATCGGTGATAACACGTAGCCAGCTTGTCTTACACCTGCCTTCACTTCAAACGCCTCGCTGAACTTTCCGTTGTGGACTACCTGACATATGGCATTTTCATACACTGCACTGCGTATTGTTTAAGTAGTTTTCAAATTATTTCTCGATCAACAGTGTCAAAGACCTTTTCGAAGTCGATGAAGTTGAGGTAGGTAGAGGTTTAACTGCTATTCTATGCTTTGTTCCATGATGATGATGATGATGATGCGTAGAGTTGCAATTTGATCAGTACATGATTCGGCTTTCCTGAATCCAGCATGTTTCAGTGGGTGTTGGTGTTCTGCATCCAGTCCACCTTTTATTCTCTCCAGGTTGACATGACTTAGTATTTTACTTGCTGTGGACAAGAGTATAATGTGTCTCCAGTTTTTTCCACCTTTTTAAGTCGCCCTTTTTTGTTAGTTTCATCCAAGTGGCTATATACAATATCATTTGGGGAACCATTTACCTTTCGAATACGTTTTTTTCAGATGGGCCCCGAGGCGTTCAGTAGAATTTGTATGCGTTCCACTTATAGGATCCACCGATTCAGAAGAATGGTTGACTTTATGATGAATATGGCCTAGTGATGATAATTAAGAATAACCACTCCACTTATCCTCTGTGTGAATGATAGTACCTGGGAGAACTAGTAGTTGCATAATTGGTATTAGAACATCAGCATTTCTGTTGGGGATGCGTTCTGCAAATCCTTTTAGAAGATTTGTGTCGTAAAGTCCCAGCACCCAGACATGGTCTGCTCTACTCCTGCCACGATTCACTTTTCGCCTAATAAGTACCGTTTCGTCAATATGCACGACAACGCCAACTTCTCCAAGTACAGAGGTAATCCCATTTAGCTTTTGTGGCGTAACACCACGACAGTACTGATACCACCACTGCATCTGTAGCAGATACTACTGGTCGCTTCAGTAGCCAGTTGTGGCATATCTGCAATATTTTATTAAGGAAGAGTTTCGATTTCGAGGAGAAAGTGTCTAAAAAAAAACCCACCAATTATGTACGACTTACCAACTCTTACAGACTTCCTCACACAAAGCGGAGTTGCGTCTGAATGCCCAACCATCATTATCCCTCCACATATGCATGTTTTGCTCATCCCTATCAACCCATTTTCCACAGAGAAGTGAAAAATAAAATTTAGGAAACTGGTATCGATTTGTACTGCTGAGGTGTCTGATTGGTTGAGTCAAGGTCATTTGAATTTGGTGTTTATTGTGTACTCTTGCCCCCCCCGGCCGAAAAGCTGATATTATCAATCGTGTAATATTATTTTTTTGATTTTTAGTTTTACGAGTTGATCACGGATTGATATCAGTTAGAGAAACATTGACAACCAGGGAGTACTAGACCTTCCGGGTACAAGGCAAGGTCCTGGGTTCGAACCCTGGTGGTGTGTGCGTACTGCCGATGATTCCCGAACTAGGATGAAACAGCAGCTGTCCAGTACTCCTTGCTGGTTTTCAATGGTTCTCTAACTGATATCAGTCCGTGATCAACTCGTAAAAACAAAACTAACCCTTACAAACCAAACTATAGAAAATTTTTGGTTTTGTTGTTGTCGGGAAAATTAGATGCTGAGAATTCCAAACTGTTTCAAAAATACTGTTTTGGAATAAACCTAATTATTATTATTACTAAATTATTACTATTGTTTGGAATAAAGTGATTACTATTATTATTTATTGATATTTATTTAAATATCACTGTTATTTCATCATTTAAAACAGCCGCGATTCAAATATTTCAATGTCCAATCAAGAAGATAATTTAAACAATACAATGAATATCCTTAAAGATGATGATGGTAATGACAGTGTTGATGACGGTGATGATGGTGGTGAAGTATCACCTCCTGATGGTTCTGATGAAAATTCATTTGAGGAATTACAAACTAATAATAGTAATAATAATAATACTAATAATAACAATGATAACCAAGAGGAGAAAAATCAAGACCAACCAAAAGCTACAAATGACGATAAAGATAAAGATAAGATTCCTGAAAGAAGATCAACAAAGAAATCAATGAATGAGGAGAGATCATCAACACATCAAAAGAATGCATCAGAGAGTAATCAAGATACTAAAGATTCTCCAGAGGATGGAGAGGGTGAGGCTGAGGAGGATGATAGTCAAAATGATGCTATAAAACCAAATGAACAACCAAAGAAAATTATGGATCCTGAATTTTACTACGAAATTAATGAATATTTGGCAGGTCCAATGATTTCAGAAGATTCTGGTATACCAGAGAATCTATTGACTATCTATCATCAATTCGGTATGGATGCATCACGTAGAGAGAATCTACAGTTGCTTGAGAATAGCGTACTTTGTCATATCTTTGGTAATTACTTACAAATTATGAATACAGAGACACGGGAAAAACTACTCATACGTTCAATAAGTGGTGTTGGCATCGGGGCATTTTCAGTTCATCCAAAGCACAATTATATAGCGATAGCTGAAAAGGGTACACTACCATTTGTGTGTATTTATCAATATCCTGAAATCAGGTTATATCGAATATTAAAGGAGGGTACACAAACTGCTTATTCTGCATGTCAATTCAGGTAGGTGGTGGTGGTGGTGTTTATTTTAAGTCTTTTGTTATGACGGAATATACACATTTGATCATAACTTAATGGCTTTCTGTCAGAAATCAGCTAGTGGTCCAAGGAAAACGGTCTTACCTTAAACCCTTTCAAATGCCAAACAGTCAATTTCACCTTTTGGCATAAATCTGACCTAAACAAACTGGTTGGCTCTCACTAAGTATGCAACATAGATGGCACTGAAATAGAAACCAAGTCGCAAATTAAATACCTAAGCGTCATTCTATCTGCTGATCTTTCCTTGTCGTCTCATATCTTGACGATTTCAAAGAAAATATTCCGTCTTATCTTCTACATCAAGAAGTTAAACCATTCTGGTATAACCCAACCCTTACTCCTACAATTCATTAACTCTCGCATTCTGTCTATTATTCTCTATTGTTCCCCCTTAGTTTTTCACGGGCTACTGAAGAAAGACTATACCTTATTACGCAGGATGTTAAAGGTTGTCAGCAGGGTAAGCAATGTACCGCTTAACCAGCTTGTTAATATTCTGGTCGACAGGCAGGCACATGGACTCATGTGAAAAATGGGCCAAATCCATTTTATCTAACTCACACCACCGTCTTCACTCACAACTCTCCCCTTGTATCTCATCAGGCAGAACCAGTAGCCTATATAGAAAACTATATGCTCTCACCATCAAGTACAAAAACTCAACCATACCCTAGTTGGCTCGTGTTCTGTGCGATAAAGAAAGCATCAGGCGTGACACCTATAATTCATTAAATAGTCAGTAGAACAATTGGATCTCGTATTTCCGACTCATATCATTTATAGGCACAACATTTTCTTTCTTTCTTTTCCTTTTGTCTCTCTTTTTTCCGTTATGTGCTGCTTTGTTTCTTTCTTCCGCTTACGCCAGTAAATATGATAGCACCTACTTTTCTAACACCTTCAAACACTCTGTTCAACTTTGGCTTTGCTACCGACATGCCAATGTATTGTTGTAATTATGAACTGTGGTTTCCTCAATCTATGTAGAATTCTATTTATTGATAATGTACTAACTGGATGCAATACTGTATGTAGTAAAAATGCTGAGAATTCCATTCTGTATCACAAGTACTGTTTTGGAATAAAGCAAATTATTATTATTATAGGGAATAATAATAATAATAAAAAGACAGTTGCAGCTAAGAAAATTTTCTTTTCGACGAAGTCATCAACCAGGCTTACAGCGAAGTATGTTTTCCTCAGAGATTTATAGAGGCGTTCACGAAAGATTTCTGCTTGACAATGTCATCTTTGAATTCTAGGTTAAACAGAAGTATCTTCTTTGGGACGGATTGAACTTGTTCAGAAGTCTTCTTAGATTTGAAATCCTTGTCTATGAACCTAGGCGGAAAACCGTTTTCTATCAGGGTTCTTTGGAGATTACTCAGTTCTTCATCAGTCACTTCCTCGTTGCTTATCTTTCGAATCCTCGAGGGAAGAGCTTATATAAGGTTCTTCTTTCTGTAGGCTTTTTGCATATGAACCTTTTCAGAGAGTTGTTGGCATTTTTTGTCAGACGGACGTCGAGGAAGTGGAATATTCCGTCGGATTCACCTTCAAGACTGAAGTCGACGTTTTGGTTAGCATTGTTGAAGGTTTGAAGTAGGTTTCCAAGGTCAAGGTTCCCATCACAAATAATGAAAGTATCATCGATGTATCTCTTGTAAAGATGGAGGTCAGTGATAGCCGATGACAAGGAGTTGTTTTCGAGGCTGACCATATAACAGTCTGCCAAGAGGGATCCCAGTGGAGAGCCCATTGCTACGCCATCTGTTTGCTTGGAGATTTCATCGTTGAATCCGAAATAGACGTTGAAGGTACAACGCAGTAGCAGCTCCTTAAGATAATAGATCGGTATGCCAACATTTATACTGTTGCATTGGATGAAGTCACACAGAAAACATATAGTTTTTGTCAGTGGAACATTGGTGAAGAGAGAGACAACATCTAGGGAGACTATATTTTCATTTGCAAGGTTGACATTTTCAACTGAATCGACGAAATTGAATGCATTGCGGAGGTTGTATCTTGACAGTTTTTCTTTCACTGGTCCAAGAATTTATACCAGCCACTTCGCAATTAGGTGATATGGCGAATTAATCATATCTATTATTGGGAGGAGTAGGGCGTCTTTTTTGTGCATTTTGGGTAGTCCGTACATTCGTGGCGATGTAGAACTAGATAGGCGAAGTTATTCATATAATTCTGTATTAATAATTAATTCATCTTTCATTTTTTTTCAATAATTTGGTTAGCTGGAGTTCCATCTGTTCAGTTGGGATCTTTTTGGATGGTCTGTTTTTGAAATTTTTTGTCATCAGATAGAATTAACAAGAGTTTCTTCACATAGTCTGACTTGTTGAGCAAAACAATTCCAGAAGAATAGCCATACACGTATATCTAAAGGGAATAAACGCAGTAATGATTCTGAAATGGGAAATGATACCAAAACGATGGCATTGCTATGCAATAAAGTGACAGAAATTAGAATTTAAGGGTTACTGAATTTCCACCCAACTGGCTGAATGGTTAATGAGATGGCCTTATAACTCTCAAGTTTCTGGTTCACATTGCTGATTGAGTCATGAGTGCATAGTGCTGAAGAGTCCCAAACAACGACGAAACTACTGCTCAGTGCTTCCTAATTTTCACTGATTCTTTATTGATTTGTGACGAAAGCTTCAAAACCCTTGATCTAAAAGTTGATTCTTTTTCACACAAATTCACAGTCAACAGAGATGGTATTTATGTAAACCACACTGAACCGAATACACTATTATATTATCGTTCCCTTGAGTCCCAAGTACAACATGGGGTTTCAACAACACATCTCCACATTGTTCTATTTTCTGCTGTCCTCTTCACCTGGGTCCACTATTCCCCAAAATCTTTCATCTCCTCCTCGCCACACTGTCTCCTCCTTATCACCCTCGCACCAACTGTAACAACAGAAGACAAGGGCCATTGAGAACGATTTTGAGCCATATAACCTATTGTCTCCAGCTGTCAGTGGGTTTTACCGTCTCCAGGACCCCAACCAGTCAGGAAGTCTACACCTTCCTAAGTGGCTGGCTTACACCAACTGTTGTAGATTTCATTGACTGGTGCCATGTTTTCGTTTGACCACCGCTAGCTATTTTCCATATATCAGCTAACATTTCCCGTCGAGGAAGGCGATGACTAGGCATACGTAACACATGTCCTAAACAACTCAGTCGATGTAGCTTCACAGCCTCGTCGATTGATTTCCCCTCCCACTTACATAGCACTCGATGGAAGCCTAACCTGAATATTGCTCACCCTATTATACTATTTAACACGGGACTACAGTACAGTAATATTTACTGATAAACACATTTCGAGCATAATTTATTACTGCTCATAATCATATCAACTGCTATGCTTCATTTATATACATAAATATACATAAACAAAAAAAAACATATAAAGGACGCAAGAAAGTTGTGTGAGTACCTTGTTATGATTATGAGTGGCAATAATTTGTGCTCAAAATGTCATCATCAGCAAATATTATTGTATAACATTGTGTATGTGTGACTGCAGCACTGAGTGACACTGGTTCGAATCTCAGAAAGGACATCAATTCCTTAAAGACTGCAGATACCCCTTGTTAACTGGTGAGTGTCAACTAGCACGAAATCCAGGTCAAGCAAGGCTTCCTGTGGCCGACTGCCTCCAACCATCTATTACTGTGTGATTCTATCAAAAATAAAATTTTATCCATAATGAATTTGGATCTTGTTCTCTATGTTGAGTGTTTCAGATTTTCCTTTCAGGTCCTGGCTGATTTCGATATCTTCATCTGCACCGTCCGCCTGTAGTTAAGATGATGCGTTGTATTCGATGTCAGATATCGGAATATATTCCGTATAGTATACTTTTTCCTAATGGACTTAACCCTAACACACTTCAGCGACTCAGGGATTGACTTGCTACCAGGGAATAATCTCGTCGACTTAGAATATGTGGATGATATAGTCCTTCTAGGCGAGGACGCTGACGAAATACAGAGTCTACTGAACACATTGAGCAATAATCTTCGTATGTTTGGCATGCGATTCGCCCCTGTAAAATGTAAGATGATGCTGCAGGATTGGACTTCGCCGAACCCTAGATTAGAAATAGGAAGTGAAGTGGTAGAGCTCGTTGACCGCTTCACTTACTTGGGAAGTACCATCAGTCCCAACGGGTTAATCTCTGTCGAAATCTCAGCACAGATACAGAGGGCTAGTTTTGCATATGCCAGTTTACGCTGTCTCTGGCGTACACGTGATATCCTGCTGGCTCGCTGTCGACTAAAGGGAGGGTGTACTGCTCAGCAGTTAGCTCCGTCCTCCTTTATGGCTGTGAGACCTGGCCATTGAGAGTGGAAGACATGAGAAGATTAGCTGTGTTCGATCATAGGTGCCTGCGTTCTATCTCTTGCGTAAAGTGGTATAATAAGGTGAGCAATATTCAGGTTGGGCTTCGAGTGCTAGGTAAGGCGGGTAAATCAGTCGACGAAACTGTGAAATTACATCAAGTGAGATGGTTAGCACATGTGCTACGTATGCCTAGTCATTGCGTTCCTCGATGGGCAATGTTAGCTGATATAGGGTCAGGCTGGAAAAGAGCTAGCGGCGGTCAAACCAAAACATGGCACCACAACAGTTAGCTTAAGCCACGTAGGAAGATGTAGACTTCCTGGTTGGGGTCCTCGGGACGGTAAAAACCAATGGTTGGAAACAATTGGTGACATGGCTCAAAATCGTTCTCAATGGCTGGTGCAGATGCATCCACTCCTTTGGACTTATGATTTCCAATGAAACTGTTTTGTTCTCCGTTATTACTATTCCTTTGTCTCACACCTCTGTTTACTGTCTCTAATATGCATTTCTCCCACTTTCTTCTCTTGCTTTGTGTGCTACATGGAGTGGAGTGTGGCGACTTGAACTGCCGCACATATGTGCAAGTTCTATGTCGAAAACCGACCGACCGACTTTTTCCCTATCTTAATGTATTCACCTAAATTATTGGTACTAGATGGTTGGAGACAATCGACCACAGGAAGCCTCGGACCTAGGTTTCGTGCTAGTTGGCACTCATTAGCAAGGCATATCAGCAACGTTGAAGGAACTCATATCCCTTCTGAGATTCGAACTCGCGTCACTCAGTGCTGCAGTCAAAGACGCTACCACTGAGCTATTCGGGCTCGCGATTCACCCTCCGTAGGACTGTATTGGATATTTTTGATTGGACGCTACTCAGTAACTAGTGTAAATTGTCTAATCCTATCAGCTGAAATACAGATTTTAAATCAGAGTGCTTGCTGAACTTGATTATTTTTTTCAATTTTTTTAACAGTCCAGATGGTGAAATGATCGCTACAGTCGGTTGTGATCCAGACTATATGCTGACTTTATGGGAATGGCGTAATGAACAGATTGTGTTGAGAGCTAAAGCCTTTTCACAAGATATTTATCGTGTAGCCTGGTCAACAGATTTATCTGGTGTTTTAACAACAGCCGGTGTTGGACATATAAGATTTTGGAAAATGGCGCATACCTTTACAGGATTAAAACTTCAAGGAAAACTGGGAAAATTCGGTAAAGTTGAATTAACAGATATTGAAGGATTTGTTACACTACCGGATGGTAAAGTTCTAACTGGTTCTGCATGGGGTAATCTACTTGTTTGGGATGGTGAATTAATTAAAGTGCAAATTTCACGTAAAGGCAAGCGACCTTGTCATAATGGATATATTATGCAAATTGTTATGGATGAGGGCGAATTGATGACAATTGGTCAAGATGGATGGATCAGGGTGAGTTTTAATATTTTATAACTTATATTTTTAAAGTTTCTTCCCTTACTTTGAAGTTTCCTTAGCAATCGGACTTGTTTCCCCGGGTAGGGCCACTAGCCCCACACCCAAACTTTCCTCCCTTCCCGAGTTTAGGACCGAAACATAAAGATTGTTATTGGTCCCTTGGGTTCCGAGTGGAACATACGCCTTCAGCAACACATCTCCACTTTCTTTTTTCTTCCGCTATCCTCTTCAGCTCCCGGTACCCACGACTGCCCAAAATCTCTCATCTACTCCTCCTCCTTCTCGACACACCATCTTCTCCATGTCACGACCCACTCGTCGCTCCGCACTCCCGTTCCACTCGAGCAATCGCCTGCACTACTCACGATGTCATTCGGCGATCTCCTCAACGTATGCTCCTTCTATCCATCTCCATTTTCTCCTACATATTTGTTGAGCAATCGGCTCTCTGTTGGTTGGTTTGTTGCCAGCCATCCAGAGTTTCTTGTCGCTAATTCTTTCTGGCGGGCTGGCTGGCCAGCTGGCCATTTGATCTTCAATATGGAGCCAGCCGGCGAAAGTGGCAGTTGTTGACAAAAGTATGTAACTTGTTGGAAATGATTATCGTGACGCACACGCTAGTACAAGTTTCTGACCCGTATAGAAGAAATGACTGACTGACCGACTTGACATTTGTGTTGAACAGAATCTGATCGAATATTGTTGTTTATGCTGGCTGAATGCAGATTTCCAAACTGGTTTCCCATTGATGAAGGTGTAGCTTGCTTTTCCGATTCTGACTGGCTGGCTTTGACATCTTCATGCGTCCCGTCTGCCTGTGGTTGAATCCATGCTTCCTGGCCATTTAAGTGAAGGAAGTGATCTCTGTCCAAATCTCTCCCACTGATGGTGATTGGTGCTGTTTGTTGTTGTTACTGTTGGTTGGTTATCTTCATAACCTCTATCTTCTCCATATTCACCTAGAATCCTGTGTTCCCTTACCGCTTCTTCAGCCAGTTTGCTGGTTTTTGCCTTAAAGTTTTTGAGTTTGAATAACATTAAACATAAGCCATCCACACACGAAATCCAGATCTTCTAGAGTCTTCTTATCGGTCAGTCCAACTTATTCTTGTCTTCTCAACAAATATGTAGGAGAAAAAAGAATTGATAGAAAGGGCATACGTTGAGGAGGCCGTCGAATGACATCACGCGTGATGCAGGTCATCACTCGAGTAGACCGCGATTGGGAACCGACGAGTGGGTCGTTGGTGCAAGGGTGAAATAGAGGAGATAGTGTGTTGAGGGGGGGTAGGATGAAGAGGAGATGATAGATTATGGCCAGTCGTGGACCCAGGTGAAGAGGACAGCAGAAAATAGAAGAAAGTGAGATGTGCTGTTGAAGCCCTGTGTTTTACTTGAAACCCAAGGGAATAATAATAATATGTGGGCAGTTTTAGTAGGTAGCGATAACATTCTATGTGTTACCAGCTCTCCAAAGTGGCTAACCTCATTTCAAGTAACTTCAACCGATTCTCTTCTTTATGGTGAGTCAAACTTAATACGCAGCTGATGAGTTCTACTTAAAAAAGAGCGAAACAGTCATCTGGTGTTTAGATCACTTAGATATGTTTAGCTAGTAAGTGCTACTGGCTGATGTGAGCAGTATTCGACTACTCATCTCAATTAATTAGGTGTATATAGTTTCATGCCATTATGCTTGCTTTCTTGATTACGACTTATGATTACAGATAAATCGTATACTGTGATCCAAAAAATTTCGTCTTTTATAGGAAATTGTGGCGAAATTTCATCTCGAACTGCGTAAAATTGCAAATTATGAATCTGATTTGATTGATCGTAGCCAAGTAGGCAGAAATCGGTTGATTTAACTGATTCAAATCTCTGAGCTGAGTTCAACCGTGTACATCATCGACAAACCTGACTTCAAATGAGTGAAGTGGCTGTCTGGAATTTTGTTTAATTCCTTTACTTTCCCAGTGGAACATAGGGCTTCAAGCTAGTGGCTTGAAGTTTCTGTAGCAGTGTTTATTTTTACAGGATGGGTTTGCTAGCCTCATGCCCAACCTTTCCTCTTCACCAGCTTTATTACTAGCTTGTTGGGAGTGCGTCCGTGGCTGGGGATCGGACCTCGGACCATATGCATGGTCCCAACTGCTGTGCCACCGACGCACACCTAGGAAGTGCAACTAATTGAATTCCGTAGCTTTCAGCTACTCATATAAGTTAATCAGTAGTATATATTTTCACTGTAAATTTTTTAATTCCCACTCACCATTTCAGACTGACGTTTAGTTTTAAATGAATCCTATTGCAACAAAACAACGATTTGTAGCTTAAAAAGTCTGAGACAAAATTTGACCACAATTCCATTCGAAAACAGAAGTTATTCAAATCACAGTATATGATCCATCTACTTGATACCTTGAATGTTAATCGAGAAAGCAAGCATAAATGCATGATACGCTCAGAGGGTGCATACTGTAAAGATTCCCAAACTAAGACGAAACAGCTATCTAGCACTTTCCGTTGGATTCCTGATGGTTCTCTAACTGATGTCAAGTCGTGATCGAACCAGTAGTAGTATATGACGTCATAGGATACTACTGAAGATCACTGAAAATGTTATCAAGGAGTTAATTATCCAGACGTTGACTAAATCTCAGTTATAACTATTATTATTTGCATTAATTTTCTGATTCTAAAAAAATAGACATGGGATTTTGAAACTGTCGATACAGCAGAATGTTCAGAAGAAGGTGCTCTATATGAATTGGAACCGATGAATGAATTACGTGTTGGTACAAAGGCGCGTTTAACGTATATTGTTAAAATTCCTATACCTGATTCAACAATGTGGTATGCACAAGTAAGTTGTCTTTTTTACAATGAATTTTTAAAAATATATTTTTCATTTATTTTACGTTCCAAATAAGACATATGGATTCAAGCTCTTTAGGCTTTAAAGTTCTAATGCCACTGATGTTATAACACTTTTAAGGGAGAGGGGGGTTACCAAACTTTTAGCTTCAACCTTCTCTACTTTTCGGGATTCCTACCGGCTAGGAGTACGTAGGCCAAAAATCAGCCGTCAAACTACACGAGTGTTTGACAAACATTTCACCAGTAAAATACCGACACATCATTTTAAGATGTAATATCTATATTGATCAATAATAACTATTATTATTTTTCCCTTGGGTTCCTAGTGGAACATAGGGCTTCAACTACCCGTCTCCACTTGCTTCTGTCTTCTCCTGTACTTTTCACCTGCGTCCATGTTAATCCATACTGTTTCAACTCTTCTTCACACGATCTCCTGCTTGTCACTCTTGGACGTCCTACTCACCGCTTTCCTTTCAGCTTCCACTCGAGCGTTGACCTGACGCGCGATGTCACACAGTGGACTCCTCAGCCAGTGAGTGTCCCATCCATCCCCACTTTCTCCTGCATATTTGTTGAGCGATTGGTTCTTGTTTTGTCTGTCCCCATAGTTTCTTGTTGGTTCTTGTTCTTTCCGGCCATCTGATCTTGAGTATAGAGGGAAGACAGTTGTTGTTGATAAAGGTCTGCAACAGGCTGTTGGAAATATTCTTTGTGACCCGCCGCCAAGCTTCTGATCCGTATAGAAGAACTGACTGACTTGATGTTTGTATTGAAAGTCCGAATTTTGTTGTTGATGTTGCTGAGTGAGGAAAATTTCCAGATTGGTTTCAGGTTGATGAATGTGTTTGTCGCCTTCTCGATTCTCGACTCGACATCCTATTCGTCCGTTCCTCCTGTAGTTGAGACAATGCTCCCTCCCTAGATAAGTGAATGAAGTAATAACTGCGTAATTTTATTTCTTAACGCGGATATACTTTTGTCATTATGAAACAAATAATATTTTGAGCTGACATCGGTAAGAGAACCATTGGAAAACCAACAGGGAGTACTAGACAGCTACCTGTTTCGTCCTGGTTTGGAACTCTCCCCCAGTACGCACCTGCCGGGGTTCAAACCCAGGGCCTGGTGCCAGATGATGATGAAATCCTGTAACCAATCGATCAAATCCCTACAAACCAATACTTGAACATCAATGAGATGTTCACAAGCGACTGGCCCTATTCATTTAGGTAGTTACCTGGGGTTCTGGTGGTAAGCCGTAACCAGTAGGGTATAGTAGATTGGGTGTGAGGAAAAATACTCACCAGCGATGACATTCACTAGTGCCAGTAGTGCTATATCGTGAATTGGTAGAAGTTGAAATTCACGGACCGGCCACTCAGTTGAGTCCCACTGGTTTAATGGTCTACGAGCTTGACTGTTTGTAACCAGAAGGTCCTGGGTTCGAACCATGGTGGTGAGTGCATACTGATGATGAAGACTCCCAAACTAGTGGGACGAAACAGCTTGGGCTGTTTCGTCGTTGGCATTCCAGTAGTTCTCTAACCGATGTCAGTTCACGATGAAATCCTGTAACCAATCAAATCAAATCCTTACAAATCAATACTTCAATAATATTTTATAAGTTCTGTGAGTTTTATGATGACCATATGAAATTCGGCTAAAGTATGCATTACTTCAAATTAAGAAGTATCAATATCAGTAAAAAGTTTGAGTATTGTGGATTAGATTAAATAGAGTATAATTATATTTCAATAGTTTACACACAATGATAAGTTTTTTTTATTGGTAATATTTCGAGCAAAATTACTGTCCGTGTTCACACACCAACTGTTGGAATTGTTTGATTCACACATTTATGATTTGTACTCAAATACACACATAGTTCATTATTTTTACTCATTCATGTTTTTTTTTCGTATTTGAGTTATATTCCACGTTCATTCATGTGTTTGTATTGAGAATTATATTCCAAGTTTTTGATAGTTGTACTGAGTCACCCTTGTTACATGTATCCGGTGTGACTTTAATGAATATCGATTCTGTTATAAGTCTTTCTTTCCATTTGTTCATGTTACTTTTTAGAATACACACATTGTTCCAATCGATGTTGTGGTTTTTGTCCCATGCTGCATGTGCAGCTATCGATGAATTTTTTTCAAAATTCTTGTAAGCTTGTGTTCCTGTTAGTTGACCTTTGGTTAGGCGTTTATGCTCATCCACTCTTATTTTGAGTGATCTGGACGTTTGCCCCACATATTTAGTCGGACAGTCAGCACAAGATATTTTGTAAATCAAGCTGTTTTTATCCATCATTTTTATGGGATCTTTCAATTGATTTATTTTATTTTTGATTAGATTTGTCGGTGTGAAAGTTGTGTGAATGCCGATATTTTTGAGGTTTCTTTGAATTGCCTCTGATGTACCATTTTTATATGGTATTGTGACTGTCTTTTTGCATTCTTCCATCTTGTTATTCTCCGGTTTTACTCTCTTTTTTCTCTTTTTTATATTATCTTTTATAAATTCTTTTGGGTAGTTATTTTCGAGTTTGAATAGGACGTTTATTTCTTTACATTGGTCCTCTGGCGTTGTTGTAAGTCTACGTATTCTATCTGCAAGACTTTGTATTAATCCTTGTTTCACCGTGAGTGGATGAGCTGAGTGATAATCAAAGAATCTTCCAGAGTGTGTGGTTTTTCTATACAGCATTGTTTTTATGCTACCATCTGTTATTCTTTGTATTTTGCAGTCTAACATAGGCAGTTCCCCAATTTCATTCTCTATTTCCATAGTGAATTTTATTGAGTCGACATGGCTGTTTATGTGTGAGAAGAGTTTCTCAATATCGTTTTTTTTCACTATTACTAGTGTGTCGTCTACATATATCCACCAACCATTCAGGTCATCACTGAAATGTAGATCTATTCTATGAAGGCACCAGTCCAGTCCAGTTCACCAGTCACTTCAGAGTTATTATTTTCTAACTTGGATTTCCTGTTAACAAGAAGGATGATGCTCAGTAGGCCTTCGTGGGCTTTTGGAAGTGTGTGTGGGCGGTTGTTACTTCCCAGGTGCCTCCCACACCATGGAAGTCGATTTTTTCTTAGGGTAACTGAAACAGAAAGAGAATTAGTGTTGCCTGACCACAGAGCCCCTGGGACAATTGCTTGAGGCCGGTTACACACGGCCTGTCTGAAACTGGCTTTTTGGTTTTGTTCCGTATTAGTAACTTACTACCAGCAGCTGACCACCTCAGGGTAAGTCGGGATGTACAATTTCTGGGGTCGACCTTTCCTAACCCCCTCTCTCCAGAGTGGGGAGGCATCATAGCTGGCTGATATGCTGGTTATCTGATGGAATCGCCTCACAGCTATTACATTCTTCTTCCCCAACAGTACAACTTTTCCCACAGACCCCCAGCAGAGTGTTAAACAAATCTTACACTATGTCGGTAACAGCTTTTAGTCTAATAGCTATCCTAACAACCTTCTTGGCATGATAGGACCTGCAGGAACAATAGTTCCAGCCAGTGTATCTTGTTGGGTCATAGCGATATGCAAGCCCGACCATCACGTCAAGGTAGCAGCTATCGGTCGGGTTTCTACAACCTACATGTAAAGGAACATTTACTTGCAAATTGAGAGAAGTTGGAATTCATGGGTAGTTGAATCGGGTCTCAGTAAGTGGATAATATATACGAGCTCACCTTATGATCGGAAGTTCTTGGGTTCGAATCCCTGTTGGTGCATACTGCTCAAGAGTCTCAAAGTGGGACGAAACAGCTACCCAGTACTACCTTCTGGTTTTCCAACAGTTCTACAACTGATGTTAGCTCTTCACTGAACGTCAGATAATGAAAATATCTAGGTTGGATAGATTAAAAACCGCCAAGATTTCATCCTTAGCGCTAACATCAGCGTGGAATGAGCTATTGGGATTCACGATGAATGATAATTATTGTCTCTCTTGACGATTCTGTTCGATATCACTTTTGGAAAATACCAAAGCGTCACTTAACATTGGGTTTAACACTCAGGTTGTTGTTTAGAAGGAGACAATGGAAGATATGTAATTTAACCCAGGAGATCAGGGTATAGAACATCACCAGGTCCTCGAGGGGACACTGAAATTGGAAGCGAATGATGAGTTTAATGTGGTTCTATGTGTAATATAAACGAGATCATGTGGGAGGGAAATGAATGCTTTTGTTCCGTTATTGATTCAGCAAATAGCGATAACAAAAGATGGCATGTGTTGAAGATGTGCTTCCGAAGGGAAATAATAATTATCACCTTGTACTTAGCCTTTCAGATGTTGACCAGAGAGACAATTAAAATTTCGCAATTACAAATATCAGCCGAAAAGAATATTACAACAACTGATGTCACAAGTCTTCTCAATTATTATTTCAACTTCTTAACAGTCAACAACACTTTACTCACTCACACTTCACGGCTGTTTAACATTTCTTTCCTGAATGACTCGAGCTAGGTTGTTCTATGATTACTTTACTTGTCCAGTTGAAATAATAAATGAGAAATACGGGAAATGTATACATACATGATGGAAGATTATACCCAAAGTAGTGTGATGTAATACAGTATTTGGGAATCTGTAGATTTCACACTGGACAAGGGTAATACTAGTGGCTGGACTTGTTTCTTTCGTAAACAAAGTTCCTTCTTTGTTATAAGAATAGAACTTGTGCACTGTGGCGGTAGAGTATAGTTCCATTATGGGTAAAATTTATTTTGATAAAGTCTCCCACTTTAACACACAGTAATATTTACTGGTGACGACGTTTCGAGTACAAAAACCAACGCATTCTACAAATAGATATTTAGACTTTAATTCATCTCATCCATTATCCATATGTGAAGGCAGGCTTAGTTAAGTGTCTAAAACATCAAGCTGTGGGAGTAAGTAGTACAACAAAAAGCTAAATGATGAAATAAAACAGATAGAGGAGGCGTTGTTATCGAATAACTATCCTATACAGTTCATTAGGAAGATCAGAAAAGGTCAAAAGCAAAATAAAAGTAATGGGGAAACTAATAGTGATAACATAAATAAGAGAGAATATAAGGCATCTACATTAGTTTTACCAAATAAAGAGGAAACATTATAATAAAGGTTTTTGTATTTCCCAATGAATGAAAAACAAAACGATATTGTTTTTACTGACGTTTCGCTATTTAATGCTAATAGCTTTATCAAAGTATTATTAAACCGGAATTTACAAAATCTCAGCATATATATAACAAACAGTTAGGGGGTGAGAAAATAGACATAGGTCAAGTTAAAGGGACATATTGAAAGTAAAAATAGCAATGAAGATAACTAAACCAAATAACAAAGGTAATAGTATGTCTGTTATGGTATCGAAATAAATTTTACTAACTTGATCATCGTTCGTCTGTTTGGGGCCAACAGCCAAACAGTAGAGCAGGAATTAGAGTGTCATCTAAATACACAAGCTCACTCAGCTAGGAAAATCTGTGTAGGTTAAAGGACACTGTCGGTGGACCCAATTAGACAAAATAATATAATTTACAAAATACTTTGCAATGACTGTGAGTTAAGTCAACTACATAGGTCAGTCAAACTAGTAGATCAGGAGTAGTCACATTGTCTGTCAGAACATAAGAATTTAGCTGAGGTTAGAATGATTGATTCCACGAAGATAAGTAATTTAGAAAACAAACTCAGCAATCGCACTGCATGCAAGCACACACAACCACACAATAGGGTGGGTGGGAGAGGGTTAAAATTCTCAAAAGTAATCTAGGTAGGTGAAGAGATAGATTGGTGAATCCTGGTTCATCGAGTCTACACCTAACACAACACGTGCAATGGGAATGACTGATCACTCATACCGGAAGTATGGAAAATACTACTACTAATCAAGTCAAGCGATGAAAAATAATGGAATTATATAAAGGAAGTTGGAAAGTTCTGTGTGTCAGTACCTTGATATGATTATGAGCAATAGTAATAAATTGTGCTCGAAACGTGGTCATCAGTAAATATTACTGTATAACACTGTGAAACTTTATCAAAATAAATTTCATTCAAAATGTAAAGTTCCTTCTATTTAAAGTGAATTTTTATTGGTAATATTTGTATAAAACTTGGGCACTGTGGTAGTAAGTAATTCCATATTAGTTTGCTTATTAGATGTATCACACACAGTGTGAAACAGTATTATTATTTACTGGATGACGAAGTTTCAAACACAATTTATTTTTGTTCATAATCATATCAATATCCCAGTATTGGATTGTAGCGTAAAAAGGAAAGAAGATGGGAAGTTAAACGCACTAGCGTGTTTACAGGAAACCCACACATTCAAACAGATATTTGGATTTCCAGTCATCCTAACATCATATTTCAGTAAAAATAGGATTGGTGAAATGTTTAAGTAATGGGGCACAAAACCTAAGTAGTACCAAGGAAAATCTAAGACAGGAAGTGAGGCATATAAAAAAAGCTTACCCTGATAAATTAATCAGGAAATATGTAGCAAAGTGTTAAAATAAGACTAATAATAATGGTAGTGATAGTAATAATAATAATAATATTAATGACGACATGCATGTCAAACATGCACAGGATAATGACAACATCAACGATAAGGAATTTAAATCATCAGTAGTACTACTATACAAAGAAGGAACCTCGGAAACCACCTTACGGCTGAGAATTCTTAACAATGCAGGCAGGAACAAAGGTGGCTGGCATTCAAAGCACTCACAAACTCAATTAGAAACAAGCTTTTTCGGTTACAGGATCAATCCTGTGGAGCCTTTAAAACAAAACAATTTAGTTTATCTAATGCCCTGCTGTGATGACTGTCAGGTCAAATACATAAGTCAAACTAGTAGAACAGGTGCAGTCAGACTAGCCGAGCATAAAAACCTAGCAGCAAAATCTAGATTAGTTGACCCGATTAAGATAAGAAATCTAGAGAATAGTTCGGCTATAGCACTCATTACATGCAGTTACACACAACCAACCATACAACAGGATGGGATGGAATAAGATGACAGTTGGGTAGAGGGAGAGCTTTATTTATCGAATCAACTGAGAGGGAATACGTATAACAGGAGCGATTCAACACCTGTCCCAGATATCTGGAAAATTCTACTACCCCTACGAACACAAATAGGAGAGAACAAAGAAAACCATAAAACTCAAGTTTCGAAGTTGTGTGATTATAAATGATGAAATGATTATGAGCCACAATAAATTTTGTTCGAAACTGTGTCATCCAGTAAACAGTAATACTGTTTCACACTGTGTGTGATATATCTAATAAATAAACTAATGTGGAATTAAATTTCTATGGCTTGTGATTTTTTGAGTATTTCGTACCCAGCAGGTTTGAGTAGTTTATTCAGTAGACGATAGACAACAGCGACGGTTACTTCCACTTATGAAATTACTTATTATCACATAAAATTCAAGCATATTTACAATGATTCTTCTATACACTCTTTGAAAGGACTCTGATGGTGCTATTTGGAAATTGGATTTATCCTTCTCGCATACATCACTGGCACCTGAACTATTGGACGAATTTCATGCAAATGATATTGTCGACTGTGTTACATCACCGTTGACGTATTGTGCAGCTACAGTTGGTCTTGACGGTGAGCATTCACCAGCATATATATATGGTTTAATGTACTTATTCATATATTTCTCTAATGTTGTCATTTATATATATTTTTGTCTAAAGAATATTAGGTAACAATGCGGTTTATATGTGAATAAAGGGAGAACAACAGTAGAGGTTTGTGCAGAATAATATGGTACCATCATTTACTTTGTCGGCTTTCATCAACTGCTTACAGTCTAAATAAATTATGAGGTTTATGCATAGAAAAGTTTTAACATACTTGCAAATTTTTTTCATGATGTTAGTTGACAGAAAGCTCCTCAATTAGTGATCAGTGCTCAGAAAATTGCACCTATATATAGTTTTCACACAGGCAGTTCAAGTTTAAACAAAATAAATGTATGCATACAATGGCAAAGGAGTTACATGGTAAAGACGAGAGGTGCGAAAGATGCAGAGTGACTAATAAATTAGGTAACATTGTACTGAGTTCAACTCAAATCATAGAAACAAGAGACAAGCAAAATTACACTATATCAAAGGGAGGTGAGGTTAAAGCCAAAGATTACGTAATCAAAAGGAGGAGAGAAAGAATAAAGACACCCAGTTACCAGGCAGAGCAAGGAAAGACTGATTAATGCTTCTTTCTGAACACACATAAATCTGGTTTCAAGCGTTTGATAGAAATTGCTTTGGCAAACTTGAGGAGAATCGAGCTCCTTTGTCTGTTGATAATGCTAAAGGATTTAGGGATTTCCATCTCATGACCCGTATCCAGGAGATGTCTCGTAATAGTTCCCTTGGGACGTAGGCTTTTCGGCACATATGGTTTAAATGTATTATAATTCCGCATTCCTTACTACATTATGCCTATAGATTATTAGCTAAGCATCTCAACAAAATGAAACTGGATTTACCAACTAACTAAAGCTTCTAACGGTCTACAGATATGTTTCAGCTGTGAAGAATAAACCGTGAAAAATAAAGTCTGGGTCTCATTTTAAAATTTGGAAACATACAGAACACGGAATCACAGCATCAGTATGAAATCAATGATTCTATGCGGTTCAGACACTTGGCATTTCATTAACATCCGTATTCCCTGACTTGGTACTGAGGATCGGATGCCAGGAAGAAAGGATAGTCTACATAGAACTCTAACAGTGAAACGTCGAAGAATCTATTATTTAAAAAAATATGAAGGAGAAAATATAGATGGGTTGGACAAACGTCAAGGAAACGGTTGAGTGACATTGGTATGGCAGGCCGTCGAGTGGAACCCTATTAGGCAGCCATGACTTAAACGTCTATGTAAAGAAAAGATGACAACTTACTGGCAACAGTTAAGCCTGGAAAGAAAATCTCACAAGATCTGCTTCATATAACACTCGGAAGCCGATCTTGTCGCTGGCTTCCTATTTTGGTCCCATCTAACAGGCCTGCTGTCTGATGTTATTTAAAAGTCTCCTTAGCGCATGTCCAATCCATCTCAGTCTCTTTCTGCATACTTGTTATATAATAGGTTTTTCTAAAAATAAGTTTGTAGGGATTCGGTTTGTTTCAGGTAATGGACAGCCGTTTCTTCAGCCTAGTTTAGGATTCATCGACAGCAAGCACCCACCCCACAAGGAGTTCGAATCCCGAGCCTTTAGGTTACAAGACAAGCTTCTACCACTTCGTGGTTTTAGTGCGATTGACAGTACTACCAGTGTAACAAATGAAGACAAGGGCCAGGCAACAGAACGTTTATTAAGGAAAATCAACACATATTTATAGATTTTTATGTACATTATTGTAGGTTAATGTTAGTAGAAAATACAGTCTGTTGATTGGTTGTTTCTCACACAAAGTCAATCTTGCATCTCTTGTGGCTGTGTCAGTTCATCTATATGTTAACTGTATCCGCCTGTCCATCTTGACCTTGGCCTCAATTACTGTCAACCAATTTGGCTAGCAACCATCTCTCACCACACCAGTACTCCCTGATTTTCAATGGTTATCTAACTGATATCGATCCGCGGTCAAATCTGAAAAATAAATCATATCCCTACAAATCAACTCTTGAAAATTAATCTGGTACTCGCTATAGACTGGCTACAGGACGAAGTAACCTGGAGTTCTAGTGAGAAGTCGTGACCAATGAGGTCCATCCAGTCGGAAGTGAGGATGGAGTTCCCTCCAATGACATTGTTTGGTGGTTGCACTAAAGCCACGAATTGGTAGAAATTAAAATTCATGGGCCATTTAATTCGGTCCCAGTGGCTGAATGTTATATAAGCTTGTCTTGAAACTGAAAGGCTCTAGATTTGAACCCCTTGTGGGGTTGGTGCGTGCTGTCGATGAATACCACACTAGACTGACGAAACAGTTGTACATTACTACCCACTGGTTTTCAATGGTTCTCTAACTGATATCAATCTGTAGTCCAACCTGAAATAGTAGGTTTTTGGTTGACTTACTGCACTGCCAGGGCTCTTTCTTGCCTGCTTATTCCTTCTGACCCTCAGCCATCCAACTTATCTTCAGTATCGAGTCAGCGAAGGCAGCTGATGATGAAAGTTTTCAAGTGTTAGGTTGTAGGAATCTGATTGATTCGATCAAAAACTAGCGTTGATTCGTGTCACTGTATGGCATCAAAAGTGATTCGCAACAATTTGTTCATAGTTTTAGGAAAGTTAATTTCACGGGTGGAACTCATTTCTAAAAATAAACATATTTCTACAAAGCAACTTAAGAGAATAAATTCTAAAAAACCAGGATAAATTGAAATTCTGTTAACTTTACGAACTCTAAGAAATTTCCTTAGAAAAAAATACTACTAAGACACCTTGTAGGGTCTCATTTACAAGTGAAGGTGAATAATAACAACAACAGTGTGCCGTCATGGATAATTTAAGAAATGCAAGAATATGAGATTGAGTTCTGATTTCATTATTATTATTATTATTCCCATTGAGTTCTGAGTGGAACACACGTCTTCAACAACACATCCATACAACACAGCCATCTGTGTCTGTGGTTGAAACTGTGCTTCCTGACCAGATAAGTGAAGGCAGGAAGTGACCTCTGTCAAAATATGGAGAAGAAAATAAAGATGGTTTGGACGCAAGTTGAGGTGGTTTTTGAGTGATATCGTACGCCAGGACCTTGAACAGAACCAAAGTATGATATGGAGGAGATCATATGATAGGGAAACGAAAACTCGTGTTGAGTAAAGTGAATCCAGCCTAAAGAACAACAGGGAGGACTAGAGTGAAGTGAAGATGTACTGCTGAAACCTTATGTTCTGTTCGAAAATCAATAAATAATAATAAATAATAATAATGATAATAATAATTTGACTTTGATGAAAGACATATGACTTATGTGAATCTCAGTGCCTTCAGTCATGCACAGGTTTCTTCAAGTCTCACTCTAATGAAGCACTGCTTTCAGGGGAATACCATATAGCCAGAAAATCGTGTCATCTTATTAGTCGTTTTTATTTCTCACCATTATCATGAGTATCAATTTCCGGATTTCATTATGAACTGACATCGGTTAGACGACCATTGGAAAATCAACAGGGAGTACTAGACAGATTTTTCGTCCTGGTTTGGTACTCTTCATCAGTACGCATCAACTGCCATGATTCGAATATAGGATCTTCTGGTTACAAGGCGAGCTAGCTCGTAGACCATTAAGCCCGTGGGACCTGATCCGATGGCCAGTCCACGATTTTAAACTTCTGCCAATTCCCGTTATAGCGAATATCATCGCTGGCGAGTATTTGTCCTCACACCTGACCTGCTGTACCCCACTAATCACGACTTCCCACTGAAACCCCAGATAACTACTTACCTGAATAGGGACACAGTTGGTGCGTACTGATGGAGAGTATCAAACTAGGACGAAACAAGTGGATACCCAGTACTCCCGGTTGGTTTACCACTGGTCCTCTAACCGATGTCTATTCATGATGAAATCCTGAAACCAATCCACCAAATCCTTGCAAACCAACGCTTGAATATCAGTTTTTTATTTGACTTTCAGGTAAGGTATGCATTTATGATATTGTTCAAAAACAAGTAATTGTTGAAAGAAGATTTCCATCTAGTGGTTCAACAATCATATGGAGTCCTCCACAAGTAAGTGCTACTGATTTCTAAACATGATTACTTTTAAGAAAATTATGAAAATGCCGACGTAACTAGTAATAAATAGTAAAGCATAGTTTGAAATTTGAAGAAGCTTTTATTGCTTGCTACTAAATTATTTAATGTTTCAGTCGGGTTGATGGTAACTAGCGTTGGAATCCAGAATGCACATTTCGTCCTATTTGGGGCTCGTCGACTGGATGCACCTCCATTCAACATTGAGTGATGGTTTTCCCACCAAGGCTCGAATCCAGTGCCAAAAGTTTCAAATGCCAAAGTCACTAACAACCAGTTGACTTCTAGTTACGTAACCAGATATCGTCGAAGCATCTTCACAAGAAGCTCATATGTCGATCTGAGATCGAACACTTCGGTCCAATCAATCGACGGGAGAATCTAAAATTCAATAAAATAATAGACCTAACTTATTTTTATTCTTATCGGACAAACCTATTGTACACACAAAAAATAAGTATATATACTTGCGATTGTACAGCTAAGTGAATGAATTCGCTGCCGAAAAGAGAGACTCTCGGCTGAACTACGTGTTTTGTTTTCATTCGAGGTAAATATCTTTTGAAATAGAGTACGGAAAATAATTGATGAAAATATATTTATACTACTTAATAAAAGTAAGTAACATAAAAACTTTTCGATAATTTAGGCTACGAAGATGTTCCAGCATCTTTACTGGATTGTATTATAGTGTCTGAATGATAAAGCACTTTGTCTCATAGTGTGACAGAGTCGATCACCAGTGGGGCCATGGATGCAAACTGATGAAGAGTCCCGGGCTGGGACGAAATGTGCATCTTGGAATCCATTGCTAGTTATCACTCACTAGCCACTAAATAACATTAGACTCACCGTAGTAGGATCCGCAATGTCTATAGAAAGCGAATGGTTTGGTTCAATAAAATTCAATTAATCAATGCAAAATGAACTTGAATGAAAAAAATGAGATCGTTGAATTCAACTATCCCTCATTTATTTTATCTCTCTCTAAGGTTGATCCAAAAGGTAAAATGTTGGTTGTTGGTCATCAAGATGGTGTATTACGTTTGTTAAAATTTGGTGAAAATCCTGAAGAGCCTAGCAAAAGGACAAAAGATTTTGCCTTGCTAGATCTTGGACAAGCTTTGAAACCTCACAAGATGGCTATAACTTCAATGATATACAGCCCATCTGGAAGAATATTTATCACTGGGGTATGCATTTTTTATATTTTTTGTACTGATATAGTAACGGTAGAATAATAATAATAATAATAATAATAATAATAATAATAGTATAATAATCACTTTATTCCAAACAGCAATAATAATTATACACAATGGGATTTTCGGCGTTTTTCTACATATTCCAAGAATGTAGCTCCTTTTGTAAGTGTGTACACTCATAAAATTTAAATCTCTAGCCACTCGCATTCGGCGCATATGTAGCCCTGATACTGTGGAGGGAAGAGTTAAATCTTTTGAGGAAAACCCTAATAGAAAATGGATTTCAACCACGTTTTATAGACAAGAATATACATTCAAATCCTATAAAACGTGGCTTATCATCCGCACCCAAGAAAATACTTTACATGAGCTTGGAATTCAAAGGTGACTTAGCTTCCGAAATTATGTAAAAAAGGATATCACAGTCCCTAAAAAGAACATTCCCTGCTGTATCTGTGAGAATAGACTTTAGTAGTCGGTCATTACTGTTCAATAACCAGAAGGACAAGATCCCGCTGTTGGCCTACTCTATATGTATTTATCAATTCACCTGCTCGTGTGGAGCTGGGTATATCAATCGTTCGACTCGAGTTTTGTCCAAAGGGTGAAAGAACACTATCCTGCATGGTAGTTACGAAAAGGTGGAAGTGGAGCAATAAGAAGTGCGATCATTGAACATCTGGTCGGTAATGATCACCCAATAATCTCTACAGCCTTCGTCTTCAAAGTCATCTACAAGGCGAAGAAGTAATTTACCGAAATCACTACGTACCCGATTCATGTGTATTGCTGAAGCTTTGGCTATCGAAATAGAAAAGTCAGGTAAAGTATAATTATATTTCAATAGTTTACACACAATGATAACTGTTTTATTATTGGTAATATTTCGACCGAAATTACTGCCAGTGTTCACACCACTGTTGGAATTGTTTTATTCACACATTTATGATTTGTACTCATATATATAGTTCATGATTTTTGTTCATTCATTTTTGTGTATTCAGAATTATATTCCAGGTTGTTGACAGCTGTACTGAGTCACCTTTGTTACATGTATTCGGTGTGACCTTAATGAATATCGATTCTGTTATAAGTCTTTCTTTCCATTTGTTCATGTTACTTTTTAGAATACACACATTGTTCCAATCGATGTTGTGGCTTTGTCCCATGCATGTGCAGCTATCGATGAATTTTTTTCAAGATTCTTGTAGGCTTGTGTTCCTGTTGGTTGATATTTGGTTAGGCGTTCATGTTCATTCACTCTTATTTTGAGTGATCTGGACGTTTGCCCCACATATTTAATCGGACAGTCAGCAATAGATATTTTGTAAATCAAGTTGTTTTTATCCATCATTTTTACGGGATCTTTCAGTTGATTTATTTTTGGAAAGAAAGACTTATAACAGAATCGATATTCATTAAGGTCACACCGAATACATGTAACAAAGGTGACTCAGTACAGCTGTCAACAACCTGGAATATAATTCTGAATACACAAAAATGAATGAACAAAAATCATGAACTATATATATGAGTACAAATCATAAATGTGTGAATAAAACAATTCCAACAGTGGTGTGAACACTGGCAGTAATTTCGGTCGAAATATTACCAATAATAAAACAGTTATCATTGTGTGTAAACTATTGAAATATAATTATACGTTATTTGATCTAATCCACAATGCTCAAACTTTTTACTGATATTAAGAAAAGTCAGGTTTCTGTACACCGAAAAAGTTCATTCAACCTCCCGAACCCACAACTTTCATTGTCTTAATCCCAATATGCTAAAGTATGGTAATCCCCAATCATATTTTGGCTGTACCAGTTTTTAATTTCTTAATTTTATCTATTCAATTTGTATACTCTTCCTTTATTACGTCAATTGTTACTATTACTACTCTCACTTTTTACTGTCCCCAGTATTGTTTCACTTTTTCCACTTGTCATTATAAATCAGTTTTGTTTTGCAACGTTCAATTCTATGTTATCAAATTTCACACAATATTATGTAACGTTTTTATTTTTATTTTATTCGATTTGTCTACTAATCCTATAATTGCACACTATCTTTCAAGTTCTATCCATCCTATGAATTATTCTATGTATGACATTAATTGTTTTGCCATTTGACATTTAACTATGATTATAATCAAAAACATTTTAGTTTTTAATTGCATTTCATACTACTATTATTATTATTTTATGCATTCACACCTATGTTTCAATTCTTCTTAAAAACTATATATATACGATTGTACAGCCTCAAGGTGCAGTACTTTCTCCATTTCTTTTCTCTTTCTTTTTGCATGACCTTCAGAACTCACCCAAAGTTAATTTCATTAAGTATGCTGATGATCTGACCGTTTCTGTCCCTGTAGTTTCCACATCGGATTGTTCCCATATGAATGGCTTCTTAGCTGAAGTTAAGGATTGGTCTGGCTCAAATGGTCTTAAACTAAATCCAACTAAATGTAATACTGTTGATTTCAGCTTGAGAAGTGAAAAAGACATGCATGGATTGATCCAATCTCATGATTGTTGTAATATTGATGGTAACATGATAGAGAGTAAGTCAAGTGTTTCTTATCTTGGCATTAGTTTCTCTTCAAACCTTTACTGGTCGTCTCATATTCTTATAGTTTCTAAGAAAGTTCTCCATCTGATTTATTACATAAAGAAGTTGAGGCACTCAGGTATAACCCAATCTCTTCTCATACAATTTATTAATTCATGTGTTTTGCCTATCATTCTTTATTGTTCTCCATTATTCTTCCCTGGGCTACTCAAGAAAGACCATATAATACTACGAAGAACATTGAAGGCTGTAAGTAGGGTCAGTGCTATCCCTTTGACTCAACTAACCGACACTGTTGTCAATAGGCACATGAATTCTTGTAAACACTTAGCTAAAGTTATTTTGTCTGATAGTGAACATACCCTTTATTCACATTTGTTTCCTTGTATCTCTTCGGGTAAGACCAGAAGAAATTTCATAAACATTTATGCTCGTACTACAAAATATAAAAATTCGACCGTACCATATTTGGCACGAGTATTGTGTGAAGAGACGAATATCAGAAAAGAACTTTTACAACTTTTAAATCATTAACTAAACTATAAAATGTAATGATGCATATTATTGCATGTGTGATTTGTTATATTATTTATTTATTATTCACTATGACCTAGAAATGGTGTATTTTGTTGGGGTTTTTATTTTTCCTATTAACTATTAATATTTTTAAAATTTTATACATTTATATAATTATAAAAAGAGCTAAACCAATGCAATATGTAAAATGAAACGCTGAAAATTCCATGCTGTAAATTGTTATTGTTGTGGAATAAAGTGATTATTATTATTATTAAATTTGTTGCAAAGATTTTCTATAGTTTGGTTTGTTGAAAAGAGTCTCTTCGTCGAATCACTTGTTTTGATTTTCTTTAATAACAATGAAACCTCCATAAACAAGATGTTGATGGAAACATAATGAATTAAAAATAGACAGATAATATCATGGATAATACACGCTATGATAATCTTTGCTTATGCTTTTCAGTTCAATTGCTATTGATATGAAAAGTTTATAAGTTCCTTTCTGCCATCTGATTATCTCTCTTCACACAAAACCCGTGCTAAATATGGTGGTATGGTAGAATTTTCTTATATTCAGTAGCTGTACGAGCATAAATTCTTATGAAGTTTCTTTTAGTTTTACCTTCGCAGAGAGAGATACAAGGAAAAAGTTGAGAATAAGTAGAGAGCATGTTCGGTGTCAGAGAAGAAAACATTAGCCAAATGATTGCAAGAAGTGAAGTGTCTAATGTCAGTTAGATAAGTCAAAGGCACACACATGGCTAACAGTACTCACAGCCTTCAGTGTTCTATGTAATGTGATGTAGCCTTTTTTGAGGTGTCCAATGAAGAATAAGTGAGGACAAAAATAAAGAAGAGGAATGGGCAGAATACATGAATCGACAAACTGTAAAGGAAGAGATTGGGTTACACCAGCAGAAAGTCTCAACTTCTTTATGTAACTAGTTAAACGAAAAATTTTCCTATGAATCAAAAGGATATGAGACGACCAACAGAGATTCGAAGAGAAACTGATGTTGCCGAGATGAGAGGTATTCGATTTACTCCCTATCATCACAGTGCCGTCAATATTACACGAATCATGGGACTGGTTCAGTCAGTCCACTTAAGTCTTGTTCACATCTGAACCTAAAATCAACAATGTGACGTTAAGATGGAGTCGGTTTAAGACCATTTAGGTGAGACTATTCGTTAACTTCAGATAAGAATCTATTCACATAAGAACAATCCAATGCAGAAACTACTGGGACAGAGATGGTAAGATCATTGGCATAATTAACGAAATTAGCTTCAGAAGAAAATGGAAGGTCATGCAAAAAGAAAGAAAAAAGGAATGGAGAGACTACAGCGTCTTGCAGCACACCAGTTTCCGTTAGCAACGAAGTGGAGCGCTTTTCATTTTAAATAGTATGTTGTTTTCTACTCGAAAAATAAGAAGATAGCCACCTTGTGACACAGTGTTTGCTGAAACCAGCTTTCTTGGTAACGTTCTAAATAAAGTAGGCTCGAACAAACGTCTCATCTTTATCAAGACTTGAAACAATATTGTGGTGGAGTACAAGTACAGCATCTAATTTGCTTCTACTGCATTTGAAAGCAAACAGCTTTGGGTCATTAAAAGATTTCAAAGAAGGTTTAAGACGATAGACAAAAGACCTAGTAAAGGAATTTTAATTTGGAATTTGGTATGTCCATATCGCGAAATTACGTAGACTATATCTTCAACGCACCATTTGCTTTGTCAGACACTTAACTAAGCCAGCCTTAACAGATAGATAACGGATGAGATGAATTACAGTCTAGGTACCTAACAGAAATGCGTTGGCTTTGCCTTTTATAAACGCTAGTGTGCAGTTTACCTTCTTCTATTCGTTTTATTTTACAATCTAACATCATGGCTAATTCTCTTTGTTCATTTTCCGATTCAAATGTGAATTTTATTCCCTTTACTAGTAGTGAGTTATATGTGTCAAGAAGCTAGAGATATGTGGCTGACACTTTCTCAGTGTTAAAAATAGAACATATCTCCACCATATTTTTGGAGTAGGATTAAATGTATTAAGAGCAATATTTTCCCAGCTGTCATCCATAAAGATATCTGCTACGATATTATGCAATAAATTACACTAAGCAAATATTTTTTGCAGTAAAAAAGGTTTTATTATTGTTCTTTAGCGTTGTTATATTTTATAAGCTGAACAGTTAAATTTCAAAGCTAAAACTGTCCTTCTAGACAAGGTGTTTAGCGTTCCATAAACGATGTAATTGTAAATGAAATAACGAAATAACTCAATCCATGAATTCAATCAGGGAGCTGAAGAGTCCTAAATTTGGACGAAATAGCTGTCATTACGTCCTGCTGGTTTTCACTTGCCTTTCCTGATGATACTGATTGTGATTAGTCAAATATAAGTTAAACGAGAAACGAAAAATACAAAGGTTAAGAAAACTTCAGAAGATTATTCTAGGAGAGACAGTCAGATCTATTCATACACAGTTCCCTAGACTTGGAGATGTTGTCCTTACCATTGAGTCATTTAACTCAGAAAACACAAAAGCCTATATCATCATCTTCATTATTTAAGCTTTAATTTATTTATTGGCTCGCTTATTTATTTTTAGAGTAAAGATGAAACACTTTTCTTCTTCAATGTTCATTCAACCCATCTATCACCAATCGGTTTTGTACATGTTCATGAAAAAGTTGTCCGTCTGGAATGGTATTATGTGAATAATAAACCTACAAATGAAGTTATAGTTTATCTTGAAAATGGTTGTGTAATAACAGTAAGTGTAGTGATTTTTTTTCGTTTTACACCTCTTTCTTTTTCTTTTTGTTATTTATTAGTTTTTATTATTATTCCCTTGGGTTCCAAGTGGAACATAACAGGGCTTCAACAACACATCTCCACTTTCTTCTGTTATCTGCTGTCCTCTTCAGCTGGGTCCACGATTGCCCATAATCCCTCATCTCCTCCTTCCCCCACCTCCAACACACCATCTTCTGCATGGTATCCTCGTGTCGACGACCCACTCGTCGCTTCGCATCGGGATTTTACTCGAGAGATTGCGCGCGATATCATTCGGCGGTTTCTGCAACCTATGCTCAATCCATCTCCATATTCTCCTACATATTTGTTAGACAATCAGCTCTTGGTTGGTTTGTTCCCGGTCAACCAGAGTTTCTTGTCGCTAATTCTTTCTGGTCGGCTGACTGGCCATTTGTTCTTCAGTATGGAGCCAGCCAGCGAGGTGGGCAGCTTTTGATAAAAGCCTGTTGTGGCCTGTTGGAAATGCTTATCGTAACACACACGCAGTGAAAGTTTCTTACCCACATATGAACTGCATGACAAGTAAACCACAATGGGAAACTTACGGAATCCTTCGAAGTAAAGACGGGAGTAAGACAAGCTGGCTGCCTGCTATCGCCAGTAATTTTCCTGATTGCAGTAGACTGGATAATGTGACAGACAGCCCAGGCAAGGAGGAGACAGGCATCAAATGGACTCACACAAAATCTTGGAGGATCTGGACTTCGCTGATGATATATGTCTGATTTCCCACAAACTGGAAGATATGCAAGTGAAAAGCAACAAGTTGGCAGAAGAAGCATCCAAAGAAGATATGACTTTCTCCAGGTGAACATAGAGAAAACAGATGTGGTGATGAAGATTCCTGACCAACACCAACAGTCACAACAACAGACAACAATCAGCATAAATGAGAGAAATCTGAAAAAAGAAACCTCCTTTACCTATTAACTATCTGGGAAGCATCGTTTCAACTACACGCGGACGGAAATGACGAGGATATAAAAGTAAGGATCGGGAAAGCAAGGCAAGCAGTCTTTCATTACTCTTAAGTCTGTGTGGGGATCAACAGCACATAGCATGAAAATAGGATCCGGATTTCCAATTGCAATGCGAAGTCAGTGCTACTTACTATACGGATCAGAGACTTGGCACCGGGCCGCGTCACGAAGGGCACTTCGAACAAACTACACACCTTCATTAACAGCTTTGTCTTCGCTCAATACTACTCAAGATCAGATGACCGGCCAGAAAAGATCAGCGACAGGAAGAGATCTCTGACAATGGACGAACCAACCCGGCAGGAACCAATTGCGCAACAAATATTCAGGAAGAAATGGAGGTGAACTGGCCATACTCTGAGAAAACAAACCATCAAGTGAGTGACATTACACGCCAGGTCATCGCTGGAGTGGAACCAATGGGAAGCGACGAGTTGGTCGTCAGTGCGAGGATGACATAGAGGAGGTGATGTGAATAGGAGATGATGAAAGCATGTGGACAGACGTGGAGCCAGATGAAAACGTTGGTAGAGAACCGAATTCAATGGAGACATGTGACTGAAGCCTTATGTTCCTCTAGGAACTAAAGGAAACAATAATACTAATATATAATATTAATAATAATACTTCGTGTTTTATTCATGAATTAAATTATATTTTAATCTAGAAACCAGTTTTATCATTTTTGCTTTCATTCTTATTTCAAATCTTTAGATAGAATGTCCATCAGAGAATCAAATATATGATCATTCTAAAACATTCGCCTTATCACAATTTCAAACAACACATTCCTATCAATTATTGAGTATTAAATCACGTTTAGAACATGATGAAGAATCTGAGGTGAAGCTGGAAAGATATGAAAAAGAAAAAGAAATGAGGCAAGAAATTAGACGAATGAATGCACGTCTCCAACCGGAAACGGAGGAAGATAAACAAAAATTAGATGATGGTTAGTTTACAGTAAAAATTTGACGTACTTTATGTGTTTATCTTGTTGGTTTACAGGAACTTGATTGATTACAAGTTGGTATAAGTTAAGGTATCATTGAAAGCCAGGGATTGGTGTTTCGTCCTAGTTTGGGACTCTTCATCAGTGCGCAGCTGTCAACCCACAAGGAATTAGACCTAGGACTGTCATATTACAAGGTGAGCTAACATGTTCTGTAATAGGCAATACAGACAATCAGGGATCGAGCACAATATAGCAAACAAGCAGAACACGATGATGGTTGGAGCAGTGTATTAATAATACTACTACTAATAATAATCACAATATAAGAGGAACAATCAAGTCCAAATGACAGAAAGAGTTAGGCTGCTTGTGATAACTAGATACTGTCTTTTAAACTGGCGCACAATATTCGGACTGGTAGTTTCTTGTGTATCACCATCCAAGTTTAAGGGAACCGATTCTTTTGAACGCCATAGACATTCCTCTACGCTTTCCCTCTGGAGTTAAGTGCTGCCGTGAAAGGAAGCCCTATGCTGCATCACATGTCTTTTCAGGATGAATTCTCGACACATTGGCGTAAACAGTCCTTCTATGTTCTATGTCAACCAAAAGACTTAACACGGAAAGAAGATAAAACAAACATCATATACAAAAGGAATTGCAACAACTGCGAAAAACAATACATTGGCCAAAGTTGACGATGTCCCCTTCGTCTTAGTATCCATGGTCACAAACTAGCTGTCAAAAGACATGACATCCACTCCCTCACTGAAATCGCTGCATACAGACAACCACGGACATCAGTCAGAGTGGGACAACGTTCAGATATTAGACAGAGGAAACACCAAGAATGCTAGAAAATTTTTAGAAGGCTGTCTGGTATTCCAGTGAATCGTCAATCAAGAGACACATCGAGATAGACAAAATTTATCAATCAATAAGAAGGAAACCTCACATACAAAGGGTCAAACTTCAAGTCAAGGAAACAATCAGTACCAATACAAGTAGCTTAAAGGGTGTGAAAACACACAAAAACAACCAGTCACATTCAAAATCACCTACAAGGAGAGATGACTAATAAACTCGTGGAGAAATCTAAAAGCTCACTTCGAGAAATTGAAGTCGTTCGCTGAAGATGTTGATTAGAAGGGGTGGGGGCAATGAAAGCTTCGCAAATTAACTATGAAGTTCAGAGGACACAACCACATCAAAAACAGTTCTTGTTCTTCATCTATTTCTGAAACATAAATGTCTGTCATTTCTAGGCAATCCGAAGCATGTAGTGAAGAGTACATATTACAGCACTAGCTCGTCGCACTTCATCATACTGTTGAATATACCTCGGGGACTACTCCTTCCTTAGTGTGAATGACTCACTTAGGACGGATTTGTTCGATGCTGCGAACTTCATTTTCATTCTGCTACTCTTCCGCACTTTCCTCCTAGTCGGTTACCGATAATGCCATCTGAACTGCCGTTACAATCACTTTCACTAAGTTGGTCTGAGGCGTAGCAATCTGTGGGATGGATGAACCTGACGGGTGTTTTTTTATTTCGAACCTTCTTCCCTTGCAGATGGGCACAGATCATCAGTAAATTCCAGACTGTTCACATCTCGTCTTGATTTGAACAAGACTCCACGACTAGCGTTTATTTAGCAAGGAAATATGATGTATTTCATTGGTCTTATGTAAGAATACAAACTAACATAAGTTAGAAAACTGTTGGAAACAACGGATAGGTGTTTTTTCTGGCTTTGGACTCTTCAGTAGTACGAACCTATGGGTTTACGAGGAATCGAGCCTAGGACTTCAAGGGTGCCATGTAAGTCCGTTGACCATTCATATTCATGAGTGCGTACAGTTGAAGGGTCAAGTACGCCCTGGTTTCCAGCAGTTCTATAATTGATGTCAGTGCGTGACCCAACCTATAGATGGGGAACAAACAATCAGAAGACTCTGTTTGTTTGCGAAAAATAATCTATAATAATGTACATGAAAATCTATAAATATGTGTTGATTTCCTAAATAAACGATCTGTTGTCTGGCCTTTGTCTTCTGTCGTTACAATACTAAAGATTAGATGGATGATCAGAAAGGATGAGCAGCAAAGAACTCTGGAAACGAATGGGGAGCGACGAGTTCGGTGCGGGTACAAGTGTAAAGTGGATGAGGTCGTGTGAGGATAAAGCCGGAGCTTATGAGCTGACTGTTATCACCTAGGATGATTTTCTTAATTGTGGTACACGACTGGATTATGCGTCAAACTGTGGAGAGTTAGAAGACATGAATAAGTTGGACAAATTAGAAGACTATGGAGGATCTGAATTTCACGTGTGGATGATTTATGTTTGATGTCACTCACACAAACTTGAAGACTTGCAGGCGAAAACGAAAAACAAATTTTTTGAAGAAACAGGTACCGAAGACAGGACTCCAGGTGAACATAGAGAAGACGGAGGTGATGAAGATAACCAACCAACCAACCAGCCAACAGCAACAACAACAAAAACAACCAGCATCAATCACCATCAACGGGAGAGACTTGACTGAGGTTACTTCCTGCCTTCACTTATCTGGCTAGGAAGCACGGTTTCAACCACGGACACAGACGCGATGGATGTAGATGTGAAAACCAGCCGAGCAGAAACGGAAAGGCAAGATATGCCTTCATCAACCAACCTGAAACCATTTTGGACTGAGCATAAACAACAAGATTTGTTCAGATTCTTTTCAACACAAATTTGAAGCCAGTAAGTCAGTCAATTCTTCTAATATGGGTCAGAAACTTGTACTGCGCACACGTCAAGAAAAGCATTTCCAATAGCAGCCAGCTTCAGGCTTTTATCAACAGCTGCCCCCTTCGCTGACTGCCTGGCTCCATACTGAAGACCAAACGGCTCACCAGCCAGAGACAATTAGCAACAAGAAACTCTGAAGAGATGAACAAACCAATAAAGAGCCGATCTCTCAACAAATATGTAGAGGGGAATGGAGATGTATTGGGCATAGGTTGAGGAGGCTGTCGAATGACATCACGCTGAATGCATGCCACGGCGACAAGAGGGTCGTCGGTGCTACAGTGACATGGAGGCTAACGTGTGGCGAGGTGGAGGGGGAAGAGGAGAGGGAGATGAGAGACTATGGTCAATCATGGACCAAGATATAGAAGACAGCACCAAGTAGAGGAAAGTGGAAATGTGTTGCTGAGAACCTATTTTTCATTCGTAACCCAAAGGAATATTATTAATAATTATATGGGCTGTCACGGGGTACCACCGACAATTATACATCTCATCCAACAGCTGTACGACAATGCTGCATGCCATGTAATCCACAATGGAAAACTCACAGAATCCTCCGAAGTGGAGACGGGAGTAAGATAAGCTGGCTGCCTACTATCGCCAATGATTTTCCTGACTGCAGTAGATTGGATAATGCGACAAACAGCGGCGGGCAATGAGGAAACAGGCATAAAATGGACTCACACAAAACAAACTTGGAGGATCTGAACTTCGCCGATGATATATGTCTGATTTCCCACAAACTGGAAGATATGCAAGTGAAAAGCAACAAGTTGGCAGAAGAAGCATCCAGAGAAGATAGGACTGCAGGGGAACATAGAGAAAACAGATGTGGTGATGAAGATTCCGGGACAAGAACGACAACAACAGACAACAATCAGAATAAATGGGAGAAATCTGAAACAAACAACCTCCTTTACCTACCTGGAAATCACCGTTTCAACCACAGCTGGGCGGAACTGACGAGGATATCAAAGCAAGAATCGGAAAAGCAAGACAAGCTTTCACCACTCTCAAGTCTGTGTGGAGATCAACAGCACTCAGCATGAAAAATAAGATCCGGATTTTCAACTCCAATGTGAAGTCAGTACCACTTGCTATACGGATCAGAGACTTGCACTGCGCGTCATGAAGAGCATCTCAAACAAACTACAGACCTTCATTAAGAGATAGTTGTCTTCGCTCAATACACAAGATCAGATGGCCCGCCATAAAAGATCAGCAACAGAAATCTCTGACTGCGAATCAACCCAGCAGGAACCGATTGTGAAACAAATAGGCAGGAAGAAATGGAGATGGATTGGCTGGCCATACTCTGAGGAAACCATCAAGTGGCATCACTAGACAAGCCATCGCTCGAGTGGAACCCGAAAGGGAAGCGGCGAGTTGGTCGTCAGTGCAAGGGTGAGAGTGACTTGGAGGAGGTCATGTGAAGAGGAGATGAAAACGTGTGGGCAGACTTGGAGCCAGGTGAAAACTGTAGCAGAGAATCGAACGCAATGGAGACGCACGGCTGAAGCCCTATGTTCCTCTAGGAATTAAAGGAATCAGTAATAATAATAAGGGCTGTCATACACCTAGTTGTAGAGTGAAGCATAGGATAGAGTGAAGTAACGTTGTTCAGTTGAAGTCCTATGTTGAACTAGTAACCCAGAGGGAGAATAGTAATAATAATAATAGCTACAAGTACGTATACATATTCTATAATTTTCTAAAAAGAACGTATCCATATACTTTCAACGAAAAGTATTCATTTTTATCTGATTTAAAATTTAAAGGTTAGACAAATGCCTTCGAAGTGTTAATCGATTGCTTCATTTCTTCCCCTTTGTTTTGCTTTTTATGTATTTCAACTTCTAGAAGAGGAACTTATTCGTCAAGGTGTTATGTCTGAGATAGCTGATTGGGCACCAACATATCCGACAAGTCCATCTCCTCTACTCTATGGTTGTTTGGATAGAAATGAACCAAATCATATTTGGATGTCACTGGTAATTATTATGTAACAAATTATTATTAATATTATTTTTTAATATTACTCTTTTGTAGTTACATATATATGAGCGTCGGTGGCTCGGTAGTAGAACATTTGCCAAACACGCACGTGGTCCAGGGTTTGACTCCCGGCGGACGTACTCCAAAACCTTGCTGAGCCGGTAAACAGGGAAAGTTGGGTGTTAGGCTAGCAACTCACCCCCACCACGTAGAGAGAAAAAATAATGACACCACTGCTATCGAAACTTTGGAGCTCTTGCTTGAATACCCATGTTTCACTCGGCGTATTGATTTGTAGGGTTTTTTTATTGGTTGAGGGATTTCATCATGAGCTGACATCGGTTATAGAAGCGCTGGAAAACCAGCAGGGAGTACTGGACAGCTATTTCCTTCTAGTCTTGGGACTCTTTGGCAGTAAACACCCACCGCCACGGCTCGAACCCAGGACTTTCTGGTTACAAGGCGAGCAAGCTGGTAGACTGGACACCTGTTCAATGGCCAGTCCATGAATTTTCACTTCTGCCAATTCACGACATAGCGTGAGTACTTGTCAGGCTAAAGGACCCTGTAGGTTGAACCAGTTAGATTAAATAATATAATTTACAAAAAAATATAATTTACCTTGTAATTGCTGTGAGTTGAATCAACTATATAAGAATAAAACTTGTGCACTGTGGTAGAGTGTAATTCCATTATGGGTAAATTTTATTTTGATAGTCTCACAGTGTTATACAGTAATATTTACTGATGACGTATCGAGCACAATTTATTGCCACTCATAATCATATCAAGGTAATCACACGACTTACTAAATTCATTTATATAGTTCCATTGTTTTTCACTTGATTTGATTGGTAGTATTATTTTCCATATTTCAGGTATGAGTGATGATTCATTCCTATTGCATGTGTTGGGTGTAGATTCAATGAACAAGGATTCATAGGTCAAAGTAGTAGGTCAGGGGTATTCAGATTGTCAGAACATAAGAATTTAGCTAAGATAAGAATGGTTGACCCAGAGAAGATAAGTAATTTAGAAAAAAGCTCGGCAATCGCAATGCATGCATTAACACACAACCACACAATAGGGTGGGAGAGGGTTAAAATTCTAAAAAGTAATCTATGTAGGTGAAGAGAGAGGTTGATTACTGAATCCTTGTTTCACAATTTATCTGATGTCTCCCTATCAAAAGAACAAGTGGAAATTCTGTCAATGGGATTCAACTTCTGTGTTCCGATGAAAAACATAAAGCAAATTGATATCGAATGCCAATTCGAAAATCTTTATGATCAACTTATGGGGCTACATGCCACGTCCAACGACAGCGAAAGCTGGTTGAAAGCAAAGATGGTGGATATTGCTCACCAATTTCGAATCATGCCAACGAATCAAAAGTCGCACATCACCAAAGAGCACTGGAGATCATTAAACAAGCTCCGAAGAGACAATAATCTTGTTATTCTACAAGCTGATAAAGGACAAAGCGTAGTGCTAATGAATAAGACAGATTATCTCGAAAAAATGCATCAAATTCTCTCCGATGAATCCAAATTCAAATGGGACAATCAAGCAAAAGATCAAACGTTGTCGATCGAAAAGAAAATTGTACAGCAGCTACGCCAACTATTCAAAAATAAATACATTGATGAAAACACATATAGAAATATCAAGCCGATCGGGTCACAAATCCCAAAACTATACGGGCGTGTTAAAATACACAAACCAGGAGCGCCATTAAGACCCATACTCTCTATGATAAACTCACCATACCACAAATTAGCACAGTGGTTATGTGAAATGTTGGAGCCCCTGCGGAAACGCTTTGGGAAGTATATCGTTTCTGATTCATTCCAGTTTGTCGAGCAAATCAAAGATTTCAACGTATCTGATAAACATTTAGTCTCTTTCGATGTTACCTCCCTCTTCACAAATGTGCCAGTCATTGAGACTATAGACTTCATATGTGAAGAAGCTGAAGACATACCCATTCCAACGTCGGAATTGAGGAAATTGCTACTTTTATGTACCAAAAATGTCCAATTCCAATTCGACGGGCGTTTATTCCGTCAAGTTGATGGTGTCGCAATGGGAAGCCCCTTGGGACCACTTTTCGCTGACTTATTCTTATCACGCCTAGAAACCGGTACCCTGCAACAACATATACAAGAAACGGATCTATACCTAAGATATGTTGATGACATTTTTATTGCCTGTGGAAGCAGATCAAAAGCCGAAGACATGCTGATAAAATTCAACTCATGCCATCCAAATCTCAATTTCACAGTAGAACACGAGGAAAATGATACTATCAAATTCCTAGACGTTTTTCTGGCGAAAATGAATGATGGCACAATCGAAAGATCTATATTTAGAAAGTCCTCATGGACAGGACAGTACATGCATTTCAAGAGTTTTGTTCCAATCCAGTACAAAAAGAACTTAGTCAGAACACTGTTCAATAGAGCACGAAAAATTTGTTCTGACAGTACTGTTGAGTATGAAATAAAATCCCTGAAGGATATTTTATCTAAGAATGAATATCCTGAGAAGTTCATTAATAAATACTCT